TGCAAAAAAATGAGTTAAGTAGTTCTGCTTTCTCCCTGTTGCTTGTCACCTTCTTGCCAATTTCTCTCAGCAATGGACTAATTGTTTCCTTGACTTTTTTCTTGTTTTTAATGTTGGAAGAAGCTTTTTTTTGTTATTCTTTACTTTTGTCACAAGCCTTTGTTCATTGTGAGCCTTAGTTTTCTTCACTTCATCTTTACAGGCTCGGGCTATTTGCTCATATTCTGCCTTAGTTATTTCCTCCTCTTTCCACTTTTTATACTTGGCCTTTTTGTCTTTCAATTTGGCAGAGTTCTTTATGCAGCCATGCTGGTTTCTTTGGAGAGCTGTTATTTTTCTTCTTCATTGGTATTGTGCTAGACTGGGCTTTTATAATCTCACTTTTCAAAGTTTCCCAAGCTTCTTGAGTTGTTTTCCCCTTGAGGATTCTCATCCATGGAATCCTTCTCAAGATCTCTCTAAGTTTATTGAAATTGGCTCTCTTAAAGCCCAAGATTCTAGTTTGACTTTGTTCTACTACTTGTGCTTGCATAATATTGAATTCCAATATTGCATGATTACTTGCCCCCAAGGTTTCTGTAGCTTCAACACTTTCTATCGTTTCATTTCTGTTAGTGAGAATTAAGTCCAATATGGCTGATCCCCTAGTTTCCTTCTCTAGTTGTCTGCTAGGTTTGTCAGGAATCTGTTGGATCTTCCACTTGGTGCAGAGTTTATCTCCCAGTTGATGTCAGGGTAGTTAAAATCCCCCATTACTATTGTGATATGCTTCCTACCTACCTTAGTTAGCTGACTAGCAAAAAGTTCATCTATTTCCTCTGTTTTGTTGGGTGGCCTACATTATACACCTATGGCAATGTCCCCCCCCCACTTTTACATTGACCCAAACGCATTCGAGGCAGTTTTCATCATTGTTGTGCTCTATTTTTGTAAACATTTAGTTATTTCTTATATATAGTGCAACTCAGGGGTAAAATGCTCCCGGTTCAGACCGTATCACCCGATCCAATAGAAATGGTGGTGGGTGGTTCGGAGAACTGGTAGCAAACATCCCTGCCCCCCTCCCCATGCCCAGCTGAGCCACGCAATCATCAGAGGCTTTTTTTTAATTTTTTAAAAGCATTTTTTCTACAATCTCTTCCACCAAAATAATGCTTTTAAAAGTAAAAAAAAAAGCCTCTTATGATCGTGCAGCTCAGCTGGGATTGTCAGAGGCTTTTAAAAGCATTTTTTCTACAACCTCTTTGGCCGAAAAAATGCTTTTAAAAGTAAAAAAAAAAAGCCTCTGATGATCGTGCGGCTCAGCTGGGATCGTCAGAGGCTTTTAAAAGAGAAAAAACCTCTGCCGATCAGGCAACTCAGCTGGGATTGTCAGAGGCTTTTAAAAGCATTTTTTTTACAACCTCTTTAGCCAAAGAGGTTTATTTTATTTATTATTTATTTATTTTATTTAATTTCTATACCGTCCTTCTCCTGCGGGACTCAGGGCAGTGTACAACCAAGATAAAACATAGCATATAAAATTTAAAAAACAATTTAAAAAACAATTAAATAATTTTGTCCCAAGTTTAAAACAACCCAATTAAAACCGAATTCAATTAAAAACTGAGAGGATGGGATCAAGCCAGCCCAGCTAGATGGAATAAGTGTGTTTTCAGGGCCCGACGAAAAGTCCGGATGTCTGATATCGTGCGTATCTCAGGGGGCAGGTCATTCCAGAGGGCAGGTGCTGCCACAGAGAAGGCTCTCCCCTTGGGGGTCGCCAGCCGGCACTGACTGGCCGACGGCATCCTGAGGAGGCCCTCTCTGTGCGAGCGAACTGGTCGGTGGGAGGCTATTGGCGGCAGAAGGTGGTCTCACAAATACCCTGGCCCTAAGCCATGGAGCGCTTTAAAGGTGGTCACCAACACCTTGAAACACACCCGGAAGACCACCGGAAGCCAGTGCAGCTCGCGCAGGAGAGGAGTCACATGGGAGCGCCCCGTTGCTCCCATAATCCCCCGCATGGCCGCATTCTGCACCAGTTCGAGCCTCCAGGTGTACCCCAAGGGGAGCCCCATGTAGAGACCATTACAGTAGTCCAGGCGGGAAGTGATGAGTGCTTGAGTGACCGTGCGTAGAGAGTCCCAATCCAGAAAGTGACGCAACTGGCGTATCAGCGAACTTGATAAAAAGCCCCCCTGGCCACGGCCATCATATGCTCTTCTAAAGACAGCCGTGCATCCAGGAGGACGCCTAAGTTGCGAGCCCTCTCCGTGGGGGGCAATGACTCGCCCCCAATAGCCAGTGATGGTGCCACTCAGTCTTGGAAGGGTTGAGTCGAAGGGTTGAGGTTGTAGAAAAAATGGTTTTAAAAGTTAAAAAAAATAAGTTGGCCACTCCCATCCAGTCACATTACCCCCACACACCAAGTCATGCCCACAAAACTGGTGGTAACAAATTTTACATTTCACCACTGGTGCAACTCCACCTCTTCTTTTATTTGGTCTATTTCTGTTAAATAATTTAAATCCTTCTAGTTGTATGTTCCATTTGTGGGTTTCATCCCACCAAGTTTCTATAATGGCAACAAAGGTGAGGCTTATTTCTCACATGGACCAACTGGATCTCTAACCAGTCATGACTATATTTCATCTGATTCAGTCCAAACCTTAACGCAGACACTGGTTAAAAGAACCTGAGGCTATTAGGAACACAACTGCCAGCACTTGGTTTCAGGTCAACATTTGGGGCTCAGGACCCCAACCGCACCCCGGTATCTGGGGATCTGGTGGAATTTTAAAGGAGAGTTGGCTTAATGTCAGGGTTCCAAGTAACACCCCCAACAAAAGAAAACTCGAAGGCTTGAGTTTCCTCAAAGTTACATTTTATTAGAGATGTCATATTGGCACATCTGGGAAAACCTGAATCTGAAAGCTTCCAGGTTTTCCTAACTCAAAAGAAAATTCAAGACCCTGCCCAACACCCACATGTCCATCACATGGTCCAATTCAAGCACCATCCCAGCTGGATATGCCTCCCAGTTCCAGCCGTCCAGGTGCAGGGCAAGATGGCCTTGACTCTCTGAGAAAGGAATGTTATTATGACTATATATCACCCTGGCTTCATACAATCCCCCCCTGCCTGTTTCTCACAGCAGTAAATGTGGCAGGCCTGAAGGCCCAACAAAAAAGATGGCTTCCAGGCCTGACACTGAGGCTATTAGGAACACAACTGCCAGCACTTGAATATTTCTTACCCGCTTGATCCATGGTCTCCATCCTAAAGAATAATTACCCAATATTGGACATGACTGAATCAGTTTAAAAGGATATTCTTTATCGTGGCATCTGAAGGACACTTTTGTGAATAGTTTTGAAGTCCCCACAATCCATCTAACAAAATGTTAAGTTTTCTCTTCTGTACAATCAACTCTCAGTGAGGGTCATCTGCCATGGTGACTAGAATTAACCCTCCTGAAATGGGTTATAATCTTTAGAAAAAATGAGAAAATACAGCAATGTTTGACCCACCTTGTTGAGCTGATTTAGCCATGAAAGAGCAAATTCGTTAATAATAATTCTCCGTCTTTCAATACTCCCCAGTTTCCTTTTGATCAAATCCCCCTCGGGTGAAATCACCATGAACTCGATGTCCATATCTGCAGCTATTTCTCCATTATGTTCCATGTAAAGATTCCAGTGGGAAAGATTGTAGAAGTCATTCTTCTCCAGAAAGGGATGGAACTAGAATGGAAACATCCAGGAATTTTCAAAGCAGAAATGTTGGTTTGTTATCCCACCTGCTATTTTCATGTATGAATTTTTCTTCTACAGTTTTTTTTTTAAATATGCAAACATGATAAATAGGACAACAAGTGTTAGCACTAAATTCATAAGTGAACAAGAAAGGTTCAGCAAAATTTGTCAATGGTACATTGGATCAATTAAAGGGAACATTCTGCACCAAGTATCAAATGAATTGAGTAACAGCCAAAAAGTGATTATTCATAAACTGCTTGACAATAAAAGTTGAGTACCACAAAGCATGGATTTTTTTCAAGATGGAAGTTTCCAATATAATCTTCTCCCAGGTAGACAAGACAGGAAATATGACCACAGGAGCAAATTCGATTTTATTGGAGTGCTATTAAGAGAATCTTACAGGTCTAAAAATACATATCTCCCACCAATTCATTTTTCCAGCCTGAAAATTTAGGGTGGATCCTTTGTGAGTTTCTTTTGCTGGCTGTTACGCAGCTGCGGGATCCCCTGGTTTATCTGATAATGCAGGTTATCTTCCCCCTTTCCTCAAAGTTATTTCCGTTTATTATTCAAGTTCCTTAACAGCTTATGGGAATGCTGGTGATATAACTTGATTTCAGCGAAACACAGGTTACCCTTCACTTACAACACTTCATTTAGTGACCATTCAAAGTTGAAATGTCACTGAAAAAAAGTGACCTATGACAAATTTTCACACTTACAACCATTGCAGCATCCCCAGGGTCACGTGATCAAAATTTGGATGAAGGGAAACTGGTTCATATTTATGACGGTTGCTATGTCCCAGGGTCATGTGATCCTCTTTTGCGCTCTCCTGACAAGCAAAGTCAATAGGAAAGCCAGACTCACTTAGCAACCCTGCTACCAACTTAACATCTGCAGTGATTCACTTAACAACTATGGCAAGAAAGGTCATAAAAGAGGGCAAAGCTCGCTTAACAATTGCCTGACTTAGCAACAGAAATTTTGGGCTCAATTGTGGTCATAGGTTGAAGACTATGTACTACCAAATGATTTTGTTATGTGATGATTAGGAACCAAGTTAAGTGATAGCTGGATGGTATGAATACGGGTATATTGTTAAAGGTGCAATCACCCCTTTAAAATTAGAAGTGTTTAATATCAAATATATATCTGCTACCAGCTCCTTGGTAAATTATACTCCCCAGCAACTAGATTGGCCAAATTTGTTGGCATTTTGTAGCACAAGGAAGTCGATATGATTCCCCTCTTTCCCTAATGAATTCCTTCTCCAGAGGAATTTGTTGGATCCTTGTTGGGACCCCATACCTGCCATGGCTGCAGCCTTGGAGCCTCCAGTGTTTCTTGGGCCCCCTTCCTTCTCCAGGATCTGGAAGAATATGCAGCCTTCAAGACGTGGGCCAGAGTTATAAAGATAAAGTAAACAGAGTCACTGTTTTCAACGAATATCCCATTCAATTCATCTTCTGTCTCCACTGGAGTTTTTTGGGTGCATCTTTTCCGGCCTTTGACAGAAAAAACATGCTTTGGAAAAGAGCACTGAAAATTCTTGCCTTCATACTGGGAGTCTAAAAAGGAAAAGGGTTCAAAAGCACCATATTTTGGGCTCATTTTTTGCAGAAATTCAAAGCTCCAAATACTATGGATGTATTTGTGATATCCAAGATGATGCATTATACAGTTTCCCAAAGTTGTGGTGATCCAGATTTTCTCGCTGATGGGTCCTGACAAAATGTCAAGGGTTAGATGGAAAGTATGAAAAGTGCTTGAAACAATAATGTGTTCTGTGAAGTGAACAAAGACGTTGACTTGTTTCCACTGAGAAAAGCTGGAATCCCTGAAGGGTGCTGGAAGTCCAGTCATTGTGAATTCTTTTGATATAACGACACAAATTCCATTCCTGACAAGCGAAGGAGGAAAAGTCCTCAGGAAATTCTCTCCCTCCTCTGTGTCTGGAGCAAGGAGGCCAATCAAGGTCCATCTGAAGTGCAGGAGGACTCGGACAATTGCTGAATACTGAAACCCTTCTTTGAGGAGCATCCGGTGGAAAAAAGGGAATTTACTTTTATCACTCAGAGTCTCTGAAACAACTCTATGACTGATCTGGAAAAGCAATGAAGAATGCTATGTTATATTTTGAGTGAGGTCAACTCCAGAATATGAGTTTTTAATAAATCCAACTTTGTTCTGATAAATATCTTAGAATAGTTTGTTGGTTGGCCATTGTTTAAAATATTAAACAGAATATTAAGAAGGCTTTATATAAAAATGGAAGACAAGAAACAAAGTAAAAAAGAATAACAATCAAAACGCAAATCATATTTCTTGATCACCTCTAATTTAATGCAGTTAGACTCACATGTGGAAACGTTAACTGAAGTATATTGTTCCAATAAAAGGCCATATTATATTTAGCTTTGGAAGATTGCTACATCTTTCTCTTCTTCTATATTTCAGATTCTTTGTGCAGCCATCTTTTTTACTTTCTTCTTCAGTTGTGCAAGAGACAGGGAGACTATATTTCCTCATATAATTTGTCAGTTGTATAAGCCAAGAAGTCTTTAGTTGAAATTTTGTCTGTTCTAACAGGCACAATATGGGGAGTCTGTAGTTTCCATAGCTTTTGTTTCTAGAGTTTCAATGTCTTTTTTTATAGTGTGATGACCAAAACTGGATGCAGTATTCTAGGTGTGGTCTTACTAAGGCTTTATATAGTGATATTAGTACCTCACTTGATCTCTCCTGTATCCCTCTATTAATGCAATTTAGGATTGCATTGACTTTTTTGGCTGCTGCTTCACACTGCACACAGCTCATATTTAGCTGGTTGTCCACTAAGACTCCAAGATCCCTTTCACAGTTACTAGGGTTAGGGTGTTTTTTTTTTTTTTTGGCAGCTGCAACATACTGGTGACTCATAGTTAAATCATGATCCAGTAGGATACCTAGATTTCTCTCACAGTTGTTACTGCTCAGCCAGGTATCAACTATTCTATAACTGTGCATTTAGTATTTCTTCTCTAAGAATAGGACCTTACTTTCCTCACCACTGAGAATTGCATTTCATTGGATACGGCCCAGTGCTTAAGTCTGTCAAGATCCTTCTGAATCTTGAGTCCATCTTCCAAAGTGATAGCAATTTTCCCCAAAGCAATAGAGATGCTATCATGAGAGGATATAACTTTTTTGATACATGCTCCCATCCTAATGTGTATCCCAGTTCCCAGTTGTAGGCCATGACACCTGCAATGGAGATAGTGAAAAGCAGCTCTTGAATTAGAGAAGATATGGAAGGATTTTTCATGCACTCACCATCACCTAACTCACATTACTATATAGAGAAACACACACACAAACCTGTGGGACTTTGTAGGTGCCTACTAATGTTGACATCTGGATGGAAAACTCCCTGTCAGCTGCATCAAGAAGAGCCAAAATGTTGTCCTTCCTTCCACAGCTGTAGTTGGGAACATTGGCTTCTCCAGTAGAGAGCATGTCCAGTAAGACGTCTGAAGTGCCAAGTGTGTTCAAATAGTTGTCATGGATATTGTAACCAAGTGTGAGATTGCATAGGAGCTGAATATTCTTGTTGATCTCTTGAATGGCGAAAATAAAGCGTTCTATTCCTTTGGAAGCATAAGGTGTACTAGAATAAAAAAATTGCTTTGGTTAATACAAGGATCATCAACAACAGTAATAAAATACCTTTTCATCATCTTTATCAACAAAAGACTATTGAGTCTGCAGCCAATTCTGATCAAAAACCAGAGGCAAATGATAGTCACCCATTCAACATTTAATATTTGTAAATGTTGAGAAAATGGGAAGCAGATAAGAATCACAAATAGTCTATTATTTATAGCAGCAGTAATTTTCATCACCACGGTACCCAGTCTAGAAAATAATTCCTTTTTAAAAGTACAACCATCATAAAAGGAAGAGGATATCTGATAAGTGACCCAGAAAACTGTTCTAAAATCAAGTCATCCTCTATTCCTATAAGGATCAGGCACTCAATATCAACGAGCAGTTAGAAAAATATGGAAATCAGCTGGTCAAGGTTAACTACAACAATCACTGCTTTAAACAAGAGTCAATATTCAAGTCATATACTATAGATTCGACTTGGAGAGTAAAATAATGTGGACTTCTTTCAGGTATTTTTTTCTGCTCCATCTTGGTATTTGTGTCTCTTCCCCTAAATAAGAGAAAAGAGGAAACCTATAGAAATCTGATCAATCAATAAAATTAATCAGTTCCTGAAATATAGGAGTAAGCAGAATAAGGAGAAAAGAATGAAAGTGTTAGAATTGCAGATGGAAGGAATACAATTTCATCACACTGAATAACTTACAAGTGAGACTGACTATAAGGAAGCTCGTTGAAAAAAAATATGTCATGTATTAGTGTTACCGCACTGGTGACTATACTGATGAGATGGTCTCCTCGCCTGTAGTAGCTCCATGGTCTTTCTCTATCCAGGTGCACCATATTCAGTGGGCACTTCATTCCAAATGTCCCAGAGACTGTCTGGGACACCAGTATCATCAAGAGCAGAAGCAGGAGGTCCATAATTCATGGAGTTGAATTGATTGCCTGTTTCCAAAGAAGAGTTAGATGATTTCAAAGCACTCTCAGAAAATGGAATATCAAGTGACTTTCTTTTTTCAAACAGAAACAAATTGAGCTTTAGCTGGAAAAGAGAGGAAGGTACATTCAGCAGCACAGCCCCTGCCTGTATCCTAAATCTTGTGTAAACCATTCAGCATGAGTAGAGGCTTATATCTTTTTCTGATGCAAGATCCATTCCACGTTGCTTCAGTCTGACGTTATATCAAAAGCAGCCACTGGAAAAGTAGCAGTAGGTGTCTCCAGGTCTGTGATTATGATAATTACTGTGAGTGATAATTTGTCCTCTTCCAGGGCTCCATGTACTGAGGGGCAACTGGAGAAAAGGATTTTTTGTGAAATGTTGCAGATACACCCCTGGAGACACTTTTCTATAATGGTTGTCATCCTTCCTGTCAAGACATGTCCAGAAAGTGATGCTGGAGGAAGATGCTTCAATAGCCAAGGAATTGACTTCTACCGTCCACTATTGTGTCATATGGTCTCCAGAGATTGCTAGAGAAGGTTACCTGGAGCTATGCAGTTTGGTGACAATCTAGGTTCTTGACACTTAACTCTTGCTTTCTCTAACACCATCTGCACCCTTGAACCCTGCCTAATGTTAACAGCAGATCTTCTTTGTGATTTTCTTTTCTCCAGGTATTAATCCTAATCTGGATCTGATTTTAAAATTCCTTGCACCTGAAGTGACATTTCATTTCCATCTGTTCTAGAAGTAGAATTTTTGGGATGAGAGCTGACTAAGAGGCAGGAAAGTGACAGTCTGTAGACTGTATTCTTGGGTAAATGGGGAGAAGGGATAGAAATTTTTATTTTCCTTGACACTCTGTTATCCTTCAATATTCATGGAAGACACTAAAATCCTTTATATTTTGATGTTTCATAATTTATTAATTAATTTATTTATTTATTTATTTTATTCAATTTGTATACCGCCCTTCTCCTAGTGGACTCAGGGTGGTGCACAGCCAGAACTAAAACACATGCCAATACAAAATTTAAAATTATTAAAAGAATTACATAACTGGCCCAAATTTAAAACAATTCAATTAAAACCCAATGATAATTTAAAAGCTAAAAAACTAAAAAAGGGGGAGGGGGTTCACGCCAGCCCTGCTTGATGGAAAAGAAAAGTTTTCAGGGCACGACGAAAGACCCGGAGATCCGATATCTTTCGGATATAATGGGGATGAAGTCTGCAACTGAGATGGTGGTGGTGCTGACAGTGTTGTGTACAGTTTGAGCTGATTCCTTGCCAGACCCACCCAAAAACTGGTTTAGAGATACATAGTGGCCCTTTCTCTGGTTTTTAACGGATTAACAGAGTTGGAATGGACATTTTAGGCCATCTAATCCAAGCCCCCCCCCATCCAAGCTGGAGACCCTTCACCATTTCAGTCTCTCCTTGAAAGCTTCCAGTGATGAAGCTCCCACAACTTCCAAAAGCAACCTGTTCCACTGGCTGATTGTTCTCACTGTCAGAAATTTTATCCTTATTTCCACGTTGAATCTCTCCTTGTTCAGTTTCTATCCATTATTCCTTGTCTGGTCTTCAGGTACTTTGGAAAATAGCTTGACCTCCTTCTCTCTGTATGGATACACTTGGTGGGATGGGCCCCATTTGACATTCCTATCTCTCAGGCTATGTGTGACACCCCCTCTCCCAACAAACACACAAGTGCTTTGGGGTGCAGTGGGAAGACCTGTGTTCCTTGTTTACTGAGTGATTTATTGTTGATATTTTGTTTCTTACCTGGAGAACAGATGGAAATGAACTGTCACTTCATATGTACAATATATTATGCTTGGTGAACATGTAAGAAAAGTAATACAGAGGAGTTTAAAGATAAATGTTCAACATTTTATTTGAGGATTGATGGGGGATCAGTTAGGAAAATGCCATGGAACATTGGTTTGAGAACATTCAGAACTACCCAGCAGAGAGTAATGGCTTGTGAAATTGACAGAACTTCCTGAAATGGACAAACTGCCTATTCTAAATAGAGAAAGGGCAACATCTACATGTATTGGTGACTGGAAACCCATTATGGGTTTTTTTTTTTTGTGTGTGTGTAAAAATAAAGTTGTGGTTTATGGTTTTCATACAGAGGAAAGTATAGATAAAAAGAGTCACAATGTAACTTTAGGAAAAGGAAGGTTAAAATATAATTGTACCAAAACATGGCCATATTACCACATGTTTATGCAGCAAAAACAAACTTTCTCCACATTGGTTAAAAGTGCAGATTTTGACACAGTCCTTAAATGATACATATTTATCCAAGTCCAAGAAGGAATGAGGAAAGCTGAGAACTTCTTGGGTGCTAGAAATATACAGATAAAGAAATAAATAATATAAATAAAAAATATACAGATAAATAAATAATACATAAATAAATAAAAAAGATAAAGCCAACAAGGGAGATACACCCAAAGAAACATATATCAGCTAAATTTGAGACACTATGTGATAATTTCAGGAGGAATTCCTTCTTTGAATGGGATGTCCTTGCAAACATCCATTTCCAAAAATTAAGAATAGGTCTTCTGAATCAGGCCAGGTTCCATCTTTATCTCTCAGTGCCTTGGTAAGACCACACTAGGAATTCTGCATCCAGTTTTGGTCGCCATGATGTAAAAAAGATGTTGAGACTCTAGAAAGAGGGCAGAGAAGAGCAACAATGATGATTAGGGGACTGGAAGTAAAATGGTTGCTGGAATTGGGTATGTCTAGTTTAATGAAAAGAAGGACTAGGGCTAGGCTCACATGATAGCAGTATTCTAATATTTATGGGGCTTCCCCAAAGTCAACCTATTCTCTAAAGCACCAGAAGGCAGGACAAAAAGCAACAGATGGAAACTAATCAAGGAGAGAAGCAACCTAGAACTAAGAAGAAATTTTGTGTCAAAATAATGAATCAGTGAAACAACTTACCTCCAGAACTTTTGGGTACTCCAACACTGGAGGGTTTTTTTCTTTAAAAAAAAAAAAAACAGTTTTGACAGCCATTTCTTTGAAATGGTATAGAGTTTTCTGCCTGACCAGATGGTTGGACTAGACAAGATCCCGTCCAACTTTGTTATTCTATTAGTCATGACCAAAATAACTCTGGAATGTCCACCATCTCCCTTATAGTGGTATAAGGGAGATGGTGGACATTCCAGAGTTATTTGGAATGTCTCTCTTATTTTATTTCTACATAACTTGACCAGATGGATAATCCAGATTATTCAGATTTTCCAATTATATTGAATATGGATGGAAAACACAATCTTCCAATTGCCTTTTGATTATTTCAGCTCCAAATTGTTGCGCCTTCTTATGTACAGGGGGCAACTTGAAAGAATTTATATGCTTGACCTGTTGGAATGTGTTGAAATTCTTCGAACTCACATTTATTCATTTCTTCTGGTCGTAAGATGCTCCTTTGTATTCAAGTCTGGCCTCAGAATGATAATGTAGCACTTGGGGATGAAGACACAGACCAGCAGACCAGCACTGGAGGCCAAGATGGAGAAGACCTGCACAGCCACCATGTATTTCCCCTTGGTGCTCAGGTAGGTGGGTAGGAAGGAGACCCAGACGTTGCAGAAGACCAGCATGCTGAAGGTGATCAGCTTGGCTTCATTGAATGCTCCAGGGAGATTCCTGGCCAGGAAAGCCACTGTGAAGCAGATGGCAGCCAGGAAGCCCATGTAGCTGAGGGTGATGTAGAACATGAAAACAGAGCCTTCATTGCATTGCAGGATGATCTCTCCAGGCTGGGAGTGAAAGTCTGAGTCACAGAATGGGGGAGAAATTCCCAACCAGATGGAGCAGATCATAATTTGGACACTAGAACAAGAAAGGATGATGGAGTTGGCCAAGCTCTTCCCCAACCATCTCTTCACTTGGTTTCCTGGTTTTGTGGCCAGGAAAGCCAGCACCACCGTGATGGTTTTGGCCAAGAGAGAAGAAATGGCAACTGAGAAGGTGATGCTGAACATTGTTTGTCGGAGAAGGCAGGTGGCTTTCCTTGGTTGACCAATGAAGAGAAAAGGACACAAGAAGCAAAGCAGGAGAGAAACCAGGAGGATGTAAGAGAGGTCTCGGTTGTTGGCTTTCACAATGGGAGTTTCTAGATATTTAATGAATATAATTAAAACAAGGCCTGTGGCTAAGAACAAGAATAGGGCAAAAGAGACCAGAAGGATTCCCAGATGTTCTTCATAAGAAAGGAAGGTTATAACTTTGGGGATACATTGGATTCTGTCTTCATTTGGATATTTTTCATCTGGACACTTGGTACATTTTTCTGTATCTGAGTAAACCAAAAAAGCAATATTTTTTAAAAAAAATATTCTGTACTTTCACCTTTCAAGAAACACTTTCCTGGGACAAAATTTGTTACCAGCAGCATTTTCTGAGAAACATTGCTTAAAATCTCTACAGAAAGAATGTAAGAATATCATTTTATTTTTAAAAAGAGCTTTATTTTTATAGTTTATGTAATTAGAAGTACTGTAAACTGATAAAGAATCAATTAATCTTTTTAGACATAAATAACATGGAATCCAAACTAGAAAGTAGAAGAGAATTTTTTTTTTCTGGCCATAGAGAAGCTTGTCTAATCTGCTACACCATCAATCCCTTCCTAGGCCTTCCCTCAAGGTTTTTCTGCTATTGATCCCACTAGAAAAGAAATTGTGCTATTTGAAGATAATAGCCATAGCGCTTAGACTTATAAACCACTTCATGTGCTTTACAGCTTTGTCTAAGCAGTTTAGAGTCAGTCTATTGCCCCCAACAATCTGGGTCCTCATTTTACCGACCTCGGAAGGATGGAGGACTGAGTCAACCTTCAGCTGGTGAGAATCGAACTAGCAGACTGGTTGTAAAAACAAAAACAATTGAGCTTCAGTCTATCTTTTAACTTGCACTTTCGTGACAGTGTTTCAGATGAATCCACTTCCATAAGTCCTGTCCTTTTTCTTGGTGTCCCCCACCTTCATGGATGGAGATGGTCCCCTCAGGACAAGGAATGCAGTCATAGCAGCAAGCAGGCTCTCCTTCTCGCTT